CGATTGGGTGGTTTTAAACCCTAGTACATTTTTAAACCACCTAGCTGACAGGGATGATATTGGACCGATCGCAAAAAGGGCAGAAGTTTTCCCCAACGATTTGGTTTATCGATTTTACCAAACGACTTGTGATTCCTTCGGTCAATTATGGCGTGTGCTGTAAGACGGGAAGCAGTGGGTATAAAGTTAAATTCCGAATTTGTTGGTAACGAGTCTAAAATATGAGAGATAGAGTACATAAAAAGTGGACTCAACCATGCACATGAAACTAAGAATGTTAAAAGTCTGACGTGTGTTGACCATCTGTTAAAGACGCCCATGTAATGGCTGCTCGATCCACAGGAATAGGTAAACTTTTGAGGTACTTCTGAATGTTCATTTTATTTTGATAACTGATGGACTATGAGCTTCTAGTGACGTAAATAGAATGACGGAAATGTCAAGAGAGCCTGAGAGTGCAGACGTATTTGGGCCGAGAATTAGTATACCGGATATTTCACTCTTGTGTAGCGGGCAGTTGCGTGACAGGCAGAGAAGGTGGCTCGAGAGTCCGTGCGTGAGCTCTCAGGTAAAACTGGAAGTAAAAATGTCCGATTTGTGGTCTTTGATTAACAGGAAACAACATCAAAATGAACGCAAAAGGGTAACAAAAGTTTTTTTCTTTTTTAGGCCATCAAAAAAAACAGGTATCTGCCCCAAATTCTGTCGGTTTTCATTGGTGCGAATCTTTGAAATGTTCGTTAAAAGTTCAAAAAACGTTTGGCAGCAAATTAAAGTCCCTACAATTACTTTGTGTACATTATGTTTCTTGGACTGGTCTACAACCCTTTTCAAAGTCTTTATGTTTAGGAAACTTTCAAGCTTTTCTGCCAATGAGAGTTATAGCCAATTTAAAAATGAATTCCAAATTGTTCCATATACAAGGCCATTTATGGACTGACTGGACCCGTTTGAAGCCACAGTGGCTTTGGGGGTTAAAGAGTTATTCCATTTTCTGTTCGTCTCAGTTCATATTTTCGTAAGCTTAACTTTTAAACTTAGTTGCCAACAGACATACCATACAATACTTACTACGCTTCTTGGAGGTAACAGGAAATTTCAAGACTAGACAATATTACGGCTATATTACATGACCTATGGGAATATTGATATTGGTGAACTTAACAAAACTTAACTCTTAAACCATGCTTATTGGTACACTTTGCTCTCGAAAATGGAATCCAAATGCTGGTCGTATCCACAACGCACATGAAAACTTCATCGTGTTTACTAATTCTACATAGAAGAAAATATATTTGGTCATTTAAACCCGCCTATTGCACAACACATAATCCTTCTGTTTGTCACCAGATACGATAAACCACAAGAACTACACCTATAGGAAAAGTGGAAACGTATGCCCGACCTATGCACGCAAATGCTCACGGGCAGGCTCAGCAAGGAAAGAGACATACCAGAATGTTAAACACATTTTCCAAGTAACATCGTACTAAATTCTCATTCATGTGCTTTTGTTGATAGCTGCTGAGGCGTGAAACAGCCCATTTCTCCTCGAGTCGTACATGTGTATCATTTTATATCCAACATTGCAACCTGACGCTGAATCGGTCATTATGTTAATAATGACATCTCTAATTGCTGACAGAGGTTAATATACAAGGCAACCATCTTCCAGATCAGTGATTTTATTCAGTTGGAATACACATGAGTAGACCATAAACACTGACCTGGAAGATAGCTGCTGTGCATAACTTCTTTTCGCTCCGTCATTAAACTAAATACCACTACAATTATCTAAGAACCCTAAACCTCCAGGTCAAAAGTTAGGAAACTTGGATCAAGGAGGGATGGCATAGGTGAAGTGGTATTCACTTCGATTGGTTGCTCAGGATGAAAGCTAGCATATCTAACTCTGTTTTCCCCTCTGTTGTGCCTTTGGGTTCTTTTACGCAGTCATCTAATGATTTGGGTAACCTCCTTGGTAATGCTGCACGGCTCTCCCGGCCCAGAGCGGACTTGGAATATGATGGAGTCCGGTTATGCATGAACTTCATCAAGTGCCAATTGTGTCATTTTGCTTTATAGACCAATGCGTCAAATGCACAACCAAGCAGTATTTTAAAATAGTAAGGGACATTGGCGGCGCACTCACCAACTACATCGGCTTATTTCAGAGTTGATACGAACTACATAACTGCATCATTCAGCATGCAAGTTTGTGCACTTTAATGTGTCACACGTTATTATGCAGTGTGAAGTTTACGTGGAGAACCCAGATGGAACTGGTTATAACAGGCAAGAACGTGTGTGTCAGAAATGCACCACAGAATTACATGTTAATGTTCACGAGAGTGAACTTCACTCCGTTTCAACAACCCATTATCACATTGCCCTATTTAGTCAAGCCTATCTGGTGAGTGCTTTAAAAGCAGGGGTCAATGGGTCGACCTCAACTAAGACTTGCCAAGGTCGCTCACTACCTAATACTAATTCTGCATCCATTAATGGCATTCCTGGTTGTCCATTATTTTCAGTAGAATCAAGTTAGTTCCTATCATTTGGGAACTTTATGGTTGCATATTGTTCACCTTAATATCAGAGAAATAGGGCGCTTTAAATTGTTCCCTTAATCTGTGGGAAATTACATCGCAGCCATAGGTGCAAATACTTTTCCGTAAAAATGAACAGCGAAGTTGAACTTCCAAACAGCCCACTCTTTGGACTGTTATACACTCGGCGGAGATGATTCACACCTTAAATACTTGGCCCTTACATAGCATATGCCTGCCGTTTTGAGAGTTACCTTGCAAGTAAAGACGCTCTTTATCAGTATGAAATGTGAAATTTCAATTCAGTGTCATTAGTGGAGTTTTGATGTTCTGATACAGTGAAGGTCATGGTCAGCCTCCAACATACGTTAACCTGTGTAAATTGATTTCGTCTAAAAACTATAGATTTTTGGCTTGCCTGTCTATCATAAAAACGCTTCTTGGGCAAGAGCGGTATGTCTGATTTTTACAAAACTTGTGTTTAGATGGCAAACGATGTTTCTGAAAAAAAAGCACCTAAATACTCGGCTTAATAAAAAAGAAGAAAATGAACCGCAGCGAGATTGGACTAAACGCTGAGTAGGTTAATTGTGTCCCCAGCTCTTTTAGACTGCAGTGTTTCCACGGTTCCTTTACTTTGTCTTTCAAATTTGTACTTAGTTCACCGTACATTCATCGGCGTATATTGTATTTTGCGGAAGCTCTGCTTTTGCGCAGTTCTCAAACGATTCTCAAAATTCATTTCGTGACCTACAGCTTCTGGCCTGCCTACAGCTTCTGGTGTGATATTAGGCACCGCTGCTGCCGGGCGAACCTTATATCGACCGGATGCATGTCTATATTACAGGCTTATATTTGTGTCTGACAACGAGCGTCGCTAGACCATTTTGAATGAGGGGAGGGTGTGCCACACGAAATTTGCCGACGGACTGTCACGCAAAACGAGTGTACTGTATCCTCCTTCCTTTCATCTTCACTCCCCGTTCTTCCTCTTTTTTTCTTTTTCTTCTCTTTCTTTCTTCTTCTTTTTATTTGCAGACAGACCGTGATTTTGCAGACAAAAGTAACCAATGGGAAGGTGTGACACCCCCCACGAGGCCGGGGGGCGGCGTATAGGTCACCATTGAATTGTTAGCCGATAACAGAGTGTATGATTTATAATGACACATGAGCAGATTACATCCCCAGTAATGCAGTGAAGCTAGGAACCCTGCTCTCAAATTTTCAGTTGCCATTCCATCCTGGTAAGTGCGTTTTATCTTGAAGAAAACGTTTCCTGGCAAGTAGTATCCATTAATTGAACTCGAGGACTTTCTTTTGTGGTCCACATAGCTGACTGCAACTACAAACCGGAAATTAACCTCATTACCTTGCAAAATAAATTGCCTTGTTCATTCATCAGCGGTGTTGACATGAAATATAGGAATCGTGTGGGTTGGTAAACTGGTATACCGTTCAACGATTCCATTGGCGAACTGTGCTGTTAATTTTTTTTTTTTCTTGGAGGGGCAATAACCAGCCTGGATATGGCTCTTCGACGCAGTCGATGGAAGATGAACACCAATAAATAGCGAAGATATAGACGGAAAGATTTTCTGATTTAATTCCTTTATTACAGGTTTTCCTGGCCAATTCCGACAAAACATTCTTTTTACTTCTCAAAACATTCTTTAACTTTTCATCAGTAATTGATCCACCTTTCCCTTAGTTTTGCACTTTTGTCGTACATGCACAAGTCATCATTGTTGTTTAGCAAATTTCCTTAATGGACAAGCACGACGTTACAGACATTAACTTCTACTCTTCCTAACTCTATCCACTTTGTGGTTCCACTTTGTGTAGAGTCATCAAAGCCCATTTATCAGACTATTCTATTTCTAATTTTCTGGGTTAATTCACACGTGATATAGCTTAATGAGTAGCTATTCCATCTACAGTCGCTGTCCATGACCATATTTCTCACTGCGATCACTCTTGCAAGGAATCAACCGGAGGTTTTTTTTTGTCCCATGTACGAAAGTTTTGTCCAAAATTAATGTGTGATAAATCCAAAGACCTTCAACGAATGGGAATTAAAGTTTTAATTTGAATAACCCTATTCTCAGAAAGACTATTTAAGTAACGGAACCAGCTGTCTTTGTTGTTTGGCTTCTTTGAAATAACTTTAGTTGGTCTTTCGTGTTCGTATGAACTTTTTTATGAACATTGCCAGGAAACCTTGTAGACAATCAAACTGCTCATTTTCATGTGAAAATTAAGCTGTGTAATATAACTGGTATGGTTACCTGTTGGCGGTCTTGTCTGTATTTAGGTACCAGTTTAGCTACAAACTTGTACCCAACGTCGAGATAAAATATATATCGCATGGAAATATGACTTTCACCAACCCATGAGAAAGATCTAGAGGGGTACATAACTTGAGTGCCACAGCAAACTTGAATTTTCTGGCTGATGTACATGCAAGTTTGTGGCAAATTGCATGATCGATGTTCGACCAATTAAACTTTACAATCCGACACCTTGGCAAAAATAAATAAAAAATCTAGTGGTAGGGACGTTAATGCCTCCATTTTACTATTTCCATAGTGAGAAGTTCTCAGTTTGCACTAAGAATTTTTAGGTAGGAATTGGATTTCTTCTTCAAACAAACGCTCAGGAGCATTCTTTTCAGTACAGACAACATGGAGTAATACTTTAAGGAAATGAAATTGATCATTTCCCAGCCGTCGCTGCATAGAATCATAATTTAGGAAGAGTGTGTCTCTCCCAGTTACTATTAGAAGCCAAGATGAAAATAACGTAACTGGGGACGAAAATGCTGAGAAAATACTTTTTACCCATTTTGGCGACTTTTGTTCAATTTAACAGTTTGATTCCGCATGTATTTACAGAGAGTTTATTGAAGTGAAAGAATGTTAGCCTAACCTAAGACACTAAATAGCCTTTACAGCAGCTTTATAATGCTGAGTTATATCAAGGAAAGGTGGCAAGGTCCTTTACTCTTTTTGTATCTGTGAGTTGCATATTTTGCCTTCAAATTGGCTAATCCTATAATAAAATCTCTGGATTCCTCTTTGGTCTGCGATGGTATACTGCCATACAGTATCGACACATGATGTCTGATATTGGAGTTACAGTGTAATGCCCGTTTCCTGAAATGATACTGGCTCGATCGTGGTGCGAAAAAGATGTCACAGAAGACCATTCAGCAGTTGGATGAAGACAGCAAGGCAACAGGCGTCGTGTACAACCACTCAAATGCAAAACTCTTCACCAGGAAGAGCAAAGTGAGGAAGCGAAGAAAAGAAGGATTCCTGTCGGCGTTTCCATGCAGAAAGAACGAACCTTCACCATCTTTAACCACAATGAAGCCCAAACGTAAACCTGTATCAAAAAGGTGAGAAAGAAAGCAGAGAAGGTACATAGATTATACAGATAACAAACATGTTGTAAGTCTGTGTCCTTAAAATAGCTATGACGTCGTGCTTTACGGCTCTTCAGTCTTGAAAATCGTCTTACGCTGCAGTCCTTTGTCTTATACCCTTTTCCCCTTCTATCCCACCCCTCCCCAAAAAACAACCGAACAAAAAAAGTGAAATGTGTCCTTAGTGTGGAATCGGCTTGGTACCATACTGGCTGTGCAAGATAGAACCTACTCGAGTGTAAATTCCTCACCCTCTGTTGATTGATTTCACTGCAGCATCACATCCAACACAAAACAGAAGCTGCAGGTCTGTGTCCGGACTCACCTCCCCCAGGGACCTAAGACACTCTGTTTCCACCTAAATCTGGAGACAACCATCTCATCCTTAAAAAGGTTGATATACAGAAAAATCGGTGTCCAGCCTCAACGTCAACGCTTGAACATCCGACGAAACGTTCAGGTAATGACAAAGTTAAACGCAAGATTTGTGTTCAGTGAAGCTTAAAACATTCATGCCCGAACAAAGGGACAATGCAAATCTGGTAATTCGTGGAGTGAGGTTGGTGGGTGTTAGTGTAACGCAAGTGAAATGACGATGTTTTGCTTCCAAAGCAAAGTGCCAGCTATCAATCTTTAAGTGACATCGATCTTTAAGTGGACATGTGATCTGATGACAAGGGAGAACTTGGTTACAAACCATTTGCGAAGTGGAACTCCACGTGAAGCAGGAGAACCTGCTGGAATCTTCCACATCTAGCTTCATCAAACGACTAATGCTACCCTTCTAACTATGGATTAAATAAACGAAGCTAAGCCCTGTACTGGAACTAAATAGTTTCAATTTAAACATACCCTTGACTGGTTGCATTTCCAGCTGTGTGAGTTGCTTACACTTCGGGAAAATGGTGTTGGGGATGATGAAATCTCACTGTCAGTTGATGAACTCACTGAAGATGGACCAAAAGGTAAATGCTTTAGTTGGGATGGTTAGCTTTGAACCGAAGGAGGATTAGGATGAAGTCTACACTTTCCATGTATCTGTAACAGTAGACTTTGGCAATCGACTAAGACTATGTAAAGTGTCGTTGTGTAGGCCAAGATGATGATTTGATAGAATCCTCACTCTCATTCCCATGTACTTAAATCGCTACGTAGTTGCATTCTCATATCGCTGCGTGCTGTTCCTAATATTCTTTTCCAGAATAGTTTCATAAGGAGCTTGTCCATATGTCAACACAAATCGGAACATGTTGAAAGCCTAAGACAATTCATCTCGGTGCGCTAATTTTACCAATCCTAAGCTTGTCATTTGAAGAGCAGCTAAATCACTACGAAGGTTGGAGTGTGAAACAATTATGTGTCATAAAAATACTATGACTGACAAATCTCGAAACGGAGGAAGAGTTCGCTCTGGATTTTTGTTCCTCGAATATGGGATCATCATAAAAGAGTCTTCAGGAACACTTGAGAAAAGACGCAAATAAAGTTGGAGAAATTCATATAGCCAACGAAACCACATCTATAGTGAGCCACCATATGCCATGCAAATCTAAGCGAAGCATCTCAGAGCTTGGAGCAAGCACTGACTGCCGTTTGAATAAATTATCTAGCCCAGAACGTACTAAGTTCACAGTGAATGAAATATTCAATATCTATTTTATTTTGTAGGTCAAGTCAAAGTTTTACTGTGTCAGGTTTACAGGATCAGATTTAGGGAAATAAACGTGTGTCTTCAAAAGGTTTTCAGATTTAATTCAATCAAATACGAAATGTTCTCATTAAGCATTTTCTTATTTCAACAGAAACTTGTCAATTCCCAGACGAAGTGAAAAGGCCCCAGCCAGGGCAACAAGACGAAACCAAAGCAGAGAACTAAACAAGCAAAAAGGAGAAACAATATCCGAGGTGCAGACTCAGATCGACGAACCAGCTCGTGGCAGCGAGGGACCTCGGGTTCCTCGGTAAAATAAACTTAACTCTATTCATCATGAACACACCAAATCGGTTTTCCAGCGAATGAATTACTATTACATGGTTTCGATTAAATCCCTGCACATTAAGCGTTTTCCAATAATTCTTCGTAGATTACTTCAGTTATCTTCCTGTTGATACAATTATGCTAAGATCAAGGTCCATATCCGAAAAATCTTTTTGACAGTTACAGACATGTCAAACAGAAGTTGCAGATCTTCATCCTGAATCCCCTCCTTCGTGGACCAAGGACACTTTGTTTCCATTTGGAACCGGAAACACCCATCTCATTCTTGAAGGAGTCCATACACAGGAAGATTGGTGTCCATCCCAAACATCAACGTCTGCTTATTCGTAGGAATGCCCGTAGCTTTCAGGTATATACATCACACCTTCTACCTTGATCAAATGGGGTTATTTAGAATTCAGGAAGACAGTTTTTACTCATTTTTTCCATTGGGTGTGTCTTGAAACCGTGAAAGAGATGTACAGTACTAAGGAGAAGATTCGTTAGAGTTTTTAGGAATTAGATTTGCTCAGTTGATGAAAACTGCAATTTAACCATCCTTAAAGGCCCCTTCCCCCGAAGTAACTCGCTTTTAAGCGTGTGTTTCCGCCTCCTGTGTATGTTTTCGTATGTTTTCCAGCTCCTTGACTTACTTACACTGAACGACTGCGGAGTTCAGCAGGACGAGAATATTTCAGTCTGTCTGCCAACTGATGGCCTACTAGGAGGAGGACAGAAAGGTTGATAGTTTAGTTATCGTAGACCACCCAATCCCTGCCCCCTACACAACCCCCACCCATCCAACCCAACCCAACCCGATTCAACTTGACCTACTTCCACGCAAAGTGACTCAAATCCTCTTGACTCTCGTGGCAATAATGACATAATGTATACGATTTCCCGTTTATAAAACCAAATTTTGCAAAAATGAAGATGCCAAACATGCAAAAGGGAAAACTCTTTGAATTTTGCCACGTAATGAGAAATGTGCAACGGGAAGCAACTTATACATGCAAACAAAAGGGCCAAAAAGGCTATCCTTGACTTTTTCAACCAATACCAGCAGCCCAGTATCGAGGCTTCTAGATTACATATGATCTGAATTCTAGTGACTAATGCATAGGCCTGCGTCATCAATGGGAAGATATCCAACGGTTCCAGTCAGAATGCAATGTACAATTTTTAGGTAGGTCATACCTTTTTATCGCGACAATATTAGATTTTTCCCCAAAATAGCGCATCAGACGTGCTACACAGAAGGCTTTAATTAGGCAAATCTTGAAAACTTGAATTTCTCGTATAAGAGCTAGTGACCTGGCAGGTCTCTGTGTCAGTAAAATTTGATGCCCTGTCTTAGTCATTTACGCATCTTTGTCATTTCTCGTATCAATCCGGATATTTAGAGGCCATTTGTAACGCAAGACGACCGCCATAGACATATTACAAGGAGGCGATTATTTTACATTGGTTTACTGCATGGTTTATCTTGGAAATACAGGCTTAGTCCTGGGAATTAAAATGTAAGACTATCTCTGTCACAATTGTAACTAAAGTTGTCGTATGCATTAGCCAACCAAACATGAGTTCGGTCAAAATCAACATTCCTATGTTACAAGAGGCGAAAATACAAGCGGCTACTTTGGAAAACACGGGATACCCGCTATGCTCCAAGGGAAATAAAAACATTGGTTTTACGATTGGAAACACCACACTTCTAAAAGAAACTGCACGGGCTTGTAAAGTCTCAGAAAACCTGTACGAGATTACCGTAGCCTATCTGACTGCATTGATAGCCAACAACTCGTAATCATAATTTTCCCATCGCAATACCCCTTTCCAGCCTATCCGTCTCCCACGATCGAACCAGCAACTGTTGCCATTTTGTTCTGGTCAGTCTCACTGGCTGCGATAGTAGTATGGATACTTTGGAGAAAACAAAGGTGAGTCGTTGCATCTGTCTATCATATTCACTTTCTATGTTTTATTCTTTGATACACTGTGTTTTTGATATTTAAAGTTTCATATTTCGAAGTCTGGAATTTTAGTTTTCGGCCTCTTAGAATTCAAATATGGTTTCAAAATACATTTTCTCCTGCCTCCAAAAGTTTACCCATAATTACAATTCAAAAACATCAATCAACTGATGGATCGAATGATCAGGTCACCTTTTTTGCTCTGGATAGCTTGTTTTCCAAGGGCAGATCCAGGATTTTCAAAATGCGGGGGGCGTGATCCAGGATTTCTAAAAGGTGGAGGGGATGTAAACTTAAGTAGCAATGGTACAATGCACTAGAGCGCGTAGAGCGAAGCCCCTACAGCATGGAGTCCGGGGCCCGCTTTACGGATTCTAGGATTGGATGCGGTTGTAGGCACTCTTTAGTGCAATTTTAGGGGGTGTGGCCCCTCTGTTTTTCTTCTCCCTCCCTTTTTTTTTTCTTTTTGTTTAGTCACTTGGAGGAATGAAAAAGGGGACCTGCACCCCCCGCACCTGCTCATGCTGGTGGGTGTGTGCAGGACTTACAGTAAGTATTAAAAAACTTCTAGTAATTTTGTTGGTTAGAATTGTTTCTTCTTGGTGTGTTGTCCTCATTCAGGAAAACGTCTACCCGTGAACTAAATGACAAGGTTCCCCTATCTACCACAACCGGAGAAGGCAAGTGCACTGTTAACAGTCTTTTTTCCCGATCAGTGACATTGAGCCAAACGACAGTTGAAAGATTTCAGTGTGCAATTACATGGTACAATTTCCGTTTATAAATTTGTGTACAATTCCTGCATTTGAGCCTCAACATGTTGAATGTGTCATCGGAGCGCTCGCTCGTGCGTGCATAGTTTCGTGAGGTTAGAGGTCGTTCCATTTTTGTTGTCTTGTCCGTAAAGCCCCTTTGTGTCTCCAATAATATGTCGCATTGTGCATCTATAGGCCTCCCTAGGCATCCAGAGGAGCAGGCCTACGATGAAGATGTCTGAGCAGGTTCATTAAAAAATTACCAAGTGACCCCTGGAACTCCTCAGTCTCTTAATTAATGGTTCTAGGCATGCTTTTTATACGGATCAAATCTTGATTTCCACAAACTTTACCAGTGTCTGATCAAATCCTACGGATGTATTTACCCAAGTTACCATTGCACTGAATATCGTTTAAGCAGATGCAGGTAGAGTTGTTATTAGTGTCGATTTTCTGTTCCTATGCATAAGCCAACTGCTGCTGGTGCTATGTCTATGAATTTTCTGAACTTAAATAGGCAAAGGCAATCCAAATATAGAGTCACTCATGAAATAAAACTAATTTATTTAAATAAATAAAAATGATTTATTTTAAAAATCTGATTTAACCGTCACTTTTAAATGCAGGTAACGTTGGAATTTACTCCTGATCCAAGCCTTGGTCGTTGTGGGCGATTTAGCAAATCTTACCGTACTCATTTCCTTGGCTTAATCAGTATAATCTTTAAAGACGAATTCTGAAGACAGTTCATAACTACACCTTTATTGCACAATAAAGAAGATATATCAGTATTGTGGTGTGAACGGTAAATGCTATTTTGATCCTCAATATTTAGTGAGGATCTTAGTGTTATTTAGTGTTATTTCTCGCACAGATGATGAAAAGGGCACAGGTAACGAGACAGAAATGCAGCAAAACGATTCTGAAGAAGACCCCTCAGTATCGACGGTTTCCGATGGCGATCCAGTCGATGATGGATACGACGGTTCAAAAGAGACTCTCATAACCAAAGGTATCAATTTCAAATAATCAGCGTTTACGTGATAATGGACAATCTTACCTAAGCTCATAGCGGCAAAGGATGGTGAACGGGTGGACCCACTAACTTGGGAGTCAGCATTCCTCTTTTCTCGATTTCATGACTTGTTTACCGTACAAACACCCAAATTCAAGTAATTATCCAAAGCAGAAGTGCATGTGGCAGCACATTCTGGCTTTGTCCTTAAAGTGGTTCCTTAGGTTATGGGGGGGCTGTTCATAAGAAGAAATCTCAGCACTTCTGCACCAGTACGGCCACGTGCATTTTTCCAAGAATGTGACGAGAATGAAAAAAAAAACAGCCGTCCACGTGTAGTTGCTGGTTGGATGTCCAGCTGATGCTGTCTTGCACAAAAACTAAATTTCTGATCTTGTTTAGGAACGAGAAAAAGAAAATCCTCTTCTTGAAATCAACCTATTGTTACCTGCCAACAGTATTACAGCAAACTTAAAGTGAACGCGTATTCCTTTCTTGCTCCGTTATAATAAATTGCCCTTTCAAGGAGTCCTTCAGCTAAAATTTCTCGTGAAAGAACAGGATAATTCTTCATAAACTTAATGTTTACGTTAGTCATTCATTGTTTTTGCGCAGGCCAAGTACAAGATCCACTTCTTGGGATAGAAAAGCAGCAAAACGAGCGTGGACAAACCAGCTCAGAAGCAACGGCTTCTGGTGGCGATCCAGCCGAACATGCTGTGGATAGATGTGCAGACGTATTGAAGACGTTGTACATGACAACAGGTAGCTATGCACAGATAATCAAATGGGTTGACGATAAGACGAGGATGGTGACGGCAAAGCTCTCGTCTGAAAAGAGTGGCAAAAGCTTACTAAATTATGGGGAAATTTTCCGCAAGAAAACAGAGGATGGCAATCCATTTGAAGTAGTTTTCCTGACTGGGCGAGATGGCTATGACAGGGACTTTCTGCTGGAAAATATTGCATACGATTGGGCAGCTGGCTCCAGTCCTGTGCTGCAGAAATTTAAGTTTGTTGCAGCTCTGAAAATGGTAGACCTTCACCAAGAGTCTGACTTTGTTGACGCAATTTATGATCAACTACTGAGCCAACGTACAGATGTCAAGAGAACTGACTTGGTTTTGTTTATCGACGCCAATCCTGACAAGGTCCTTCTTATTCTCCATGGGTTTGACGAATTCCTGACCCAGTACCCTGATGAGACAAAATGTGGCTCCATTATTAAGATCCTCCATCAGACTGCAGCAAGGGGCATACAGGTACTAGTGAGCACTAATCCCTCTAACTTTCGCAGACTCGTGGACCAATCACTAGCCCAAGAGCCATTCCTTCATTTGACGGTGTCAGGGATCACTGAGCAGTATATTGAGGAGTATGTGAGAACATTTCATCCAGAGGAACCTGCTCAGGCTGAGAATCTCGTAGAGCAAATCCGATCATCAGAACTTCTCTCTGGTTTGGCTAAGAACTGGACGATGCTACCCTTGTTGTGTTTAATATCGAGAGACTCGGCACTGCCCGAAACAATGACACGTCTTTTAGACGAAGCACTGAAATACATATTCACGGGACACTCAGACACGTCACAAGGAGAAATATCCCAAGTAGTGATTTCCCTTGGAATGATGGCCCTGTCTGGTCTTACTTCCCAGAAGAACAGGTTTTCATTTGAGGAAAGAGAGTTTGAGAAAGACGTTCTTGACAAGGCGCTACAAGTAGGCCTCCTTACCCGTCAACAGGTCTGGAAGGGACAAGAATCATCAGACGGCAACATTCAGTTCACTCACAAGATCTTTCAAGACTTTTGTGCAGCTAAACGCTGGCAAAGTTTACATGAGAAAGATGAATTGGCATTCCAGAATATCCTGGACGAAATTGAAAATCCCAGTGATTTCGAGCACATGTTTCGATTCTGCTGCGGGGACAATCCGCAGTGTGCAGGATATGTGTTGAATGCGCTGTGGAAAAGCCTTCACAGGCCACCTAATGAATTGGCCATAAGTTGCTATTTCGAGAGTCAGTCGAGTACTTTATTATCAGTACCTTTCATTGAGTCAGTGATAACTGAATACATGTATGTTGACCACAGAAGCAATGACATGCAGGCCGCATTTATGTGGTTTCTAAAACATGTTTCTGAAGATGTCAGCGGACGGGAACACCTTGCACGGGTATACAAATTGTCTGTTTCTTACTTCAACCTCTCAAGGCACTGCCATGTTTTTGCTTCCTGTCTGACTACAATGAAATGCCTCTGTTCCGTAAGATTCCGAAACTGCACGATGTCAGGAAGCGACCTGTGTCATTTTTTGTCAGCTTTATCGTTACCTGGAAGGGCAGGTAACTTGACTGAACTAGAGGTTTCACACAGCCTGAGCTCAGATTGTGACGCAGAAACGTGGACGACTGGGTTGACGTCCATGATTCAACTGCAGTCACTCGTTTTAAGGTCTTGTCACGTAAATGCACCCGATATCTTGCATATTGCAGCAGCAGCGGCTGACATGGCGGACCTCAGCTTCCTCAACCTCTCCGGCAATTTCAAACTTGGCGGCAATGCAGACGTGTGGGTTCCTCAGCTGCAAACCCTGAAAAATCTCCGGAAACTAGACTTGAGTGGATGCAATATAGACATACAAGACATGAAATGCATATCGGCTGGAAAGCTGAAACACGTATCCAATCTTGATCTTTCAGACAACCTGGATTTGGGTGGTCACGTGAAAACGTTGTTGGCTCTTTTAAAGAGCATGTCCCACCTAGAAACACTAAAAATAAGGAATTGTGGTGTGGGAAGCCATGAAATCGTGTACCTTTTGGAAGCAATAAATGGCATGGATAGTCTGATGCATTTCAGGGCTAGCAAGGTGGAGCTGAACAATCGCACGCATCTGAATATTAAGGATTGCTCGTTAACCGCTGAAAGTATGGCAGATATTTTACAGTCATTGAACAATTGGGAGTATTTAGTCAGCTTGACTTTCAGTGCCATTCATGGTCTGAGTGGGTGCGCAGCTGTATGGGCCCCACACTTACGAAAATTTACTCTCCTACGGGAGTTAAAACTCCAAGACTGCTCACTGCGCAGTACGGACGTTGAACACCTTGCTGCAGCAGTGAGTCGATTGCTAAGACTGGCAACGCTCAGTCTGAAAGGAAATCGGTCTCTGGGAGGCGATGCAGAGGCATGGGCTCCCAGTTTGAAACAAATGAAATATGTTCCTTGGCTGAACCTGAGGGACTGCTCACTAACAGAAAAAGATCTGCAACACATTTCTACTTACGGTAAAAGTGTTGACTTCGGATTTCAATATGTTCACCCTACAACAGCTGGGTTGCTTCGGTCTTCTTCAAGTGTCCCCAGCTTCACTGAAGTCCCCTTTCACCAACCAGATGAAAACGAAAAAAATCGTACCGAAACACAAGAAACGCAGGCATTATAAGAAATTGATTCAGAATTAAGAGTCTAGTGTGATTATATGAAGAACGTCGACAAATGCCAAAAAACAGTTGATAGGTTGGCTGCCTGAAAAAAAGTTTAGCCACTCACAGTCCAAAAAGATAAAGACAAATACACGTAGGCCTAGTTCTCCCACTGTACATAGATTTCGAACCAGATTGAAGTAATCCTCGACTGCATGTATTTATAAATGAGGTGTCGCTAGTAAGCCCACACAGATGATTCGTGCACTGTGCCGTGTCATCTGTGGGGCTTTTAGGTCTTTCATTGAGGGGTGACATATATTTCTGAGATTTATTTTTCAGAAAAGTTACCGTCCATTTTTTGTCATCCATGAAAGATCACTCTCCTTCGAAAGAAAATGAAAGTACTCTTCCTAAAATGCTACAGCTTTAAAAGGGCGACACGCTTGAAGGGGTGCATTCGTTTACCCTACAGTCCAGCCCTAAGACGCTTAAGCCGATCCTTGGAGTGGCTCGATCAAATCCAGCTCCACGTCAAGAACCAATTTGGCCCAGGGGAAGTCCTGAGTCCCGCGTATGCCAAACGATTGTTTGGCAAGCACAATGGTTTATCCACTACGAACATAGGGCGAGGGGTCCCCTCGTTTTCGCTGTTTTCTCTTCAATGACGCAATATGCATCCAAAATTCGCATCTTGGAATGAACAGAAAACCCTTTATAGCTTGTTATAGTAGAGCTGTGAAGACAACTGACACTGCGTTCGATTTGAACGCTTCCATATTTAGTTGAACAGATAAAATCAGAGAGAGCATGTTTTACCTAGAGCTGCTCTTTAGGAAAAATATATCTCATCAATAGTGTTACTTACTATGTAACGAATCCAACTTGTAGCCAAATTGTCTGGGGTTAGGCTAATTTTGTGGTTCCCAAAACAGCTAAAATTTGCGCGGCTCGTCAGAAATGTCCAAAGTGGTTCAAATATGTCAGAGAACTATCGAACTAAAATGTTGTACATTGTAGTCCTTAGTAAAATTAGTTAAGCAAACGTTTACAAGATAAAATTCAGCGATAATTCAAACTACCATTTGACATATGACTAGAACTGTATAAAGAATGCATCCAATAAAGGCGTATATACATTTAATAATTTCTACTTTCAGAAAGGAGATTTTGTCATGAATTCCCCAGCACAATTTGCGCCATATATGAGTATGGGAATTACGTAAAATAATGCCAAGATTTACCTTTTTACATTCTCTTTATAGCAGCAGTCCGACATCGTCCCATCGTTATCGATATTTGCTAACTACAAACTAAAAGTTTCATACGTCCTGAGGTTTTTTAGGACTTCTGTATGTATATATTAGATTCAACTGAATAAAGGCACCGGTCAAATGCTTGTGGTCCGTGACAGCTCATTTAAACTGCAAACATTTAAACTTTAAATGTATGAATTACTGGTTCAAATGTTCGAAAGATGTGCTTTGTACATGATAATGTGATGGCAATTTTGTCTTTCTGAAACCATTCAATAGACGAACTAATTCAACATTTACGTAGGCTATCTTGCTAAACAATGGTAAATGAAAACACATCACTCAAATTTAGCCCCCAATTCAGTCCTCAACTCTACAAAGGGTAAAGGATCAAGGATCATGATATATAGCAGCAAGTCATCAGTGGTAGATCAAAAGTTAATTTTGTTATTTCGGAGTGATTGTTTTTTCATTACTCCAAATGAAAGGTGTTACATATAGAGTAGTGTTTCTAAAATGTTGACACTTTTAATTTTCTTCAAAATGGCGAAACATGGGGGAATTTGTTCCATCAACGCCTGCTGCATACGCCACTGAAAATCGAACTGTGTCATGGGATGTGTACCCGGGAACAACGCTGAACTAATTGTCCCGGTCTTAGAAGTATATCAAAGTGTGCGTCATTATACTTCATGTTTGTTATCACGGACAAAAAATTCAGAGTGTGCTATTGTTTTGAATGTTTTGATCACATTTTATCACTATGTTTGTTTAACCTCGGCATGAGCTGACCTTTGATTGGTGGAATTTCTGCTGTCATTTCCACATTTGTGTCGACGTTTAAGTAGGTTTATCAAAAAATTCCATGCATTGAGAAATAAGAAAAATATGGAAATGTGGGTGAAATGGTTCCACATCTCCCGCTTTCCGTGGCTTATTGTTAATGGGTAACTTTGGGGATTAATGTTGATTTGTAACTATGTACATTTTGTACCCGTGAGACGTGGGAAAAATACAAAACTTGATAAACGAGATTTTTAATTGGCTTTATCGCCTGTGTTGATGTATCAGTCATGTATGCCCAAATAAATGATGTAAATCAAAGCATTATATTGGTTTTTGGCCAGGGTGAATCCAAGAAGTAGCTAGTTTTCGGCCGGTAATGATATAAACGATAAATAATTTGAGTTTTCTATGCGAATTTAAACAGAATTACACGGTCAACTTCGTTTTTCTGTATTTCCAATGTCATGGTAATCACAACGAATTTGATTCCCCGTGAGTTATTGACTTCTGTTTGTTTGTTCAATTGATTCCAAATAAAACTGCCTCATTTCAAGGAACCGGACTACTTGTTATCGTACCTTTGTCATGCATACCTTGTAGGAGAGAATATAGCTAACATTCATTGGTGTGTGGGTTTTCCGGAAAATTTAATAGAAAAAAATTGAACGTCAAATTCCAGCTTGCAAGCTTTCCTCACTCTCTGCGTCTGCACCATATGTTGTGGAAAGTTCGTGATTAGTACAAAGACTGAAACGGTTGTCTAGTTCGTATTTTGATAAAAAAGCGCGTGCTTTCAAATCAGGGGTCGATGAATCGACCTCAACCAACACTTGCCAAGGTCACTCGTAAAATATGTAAAATTAAAATTATGACCTAAACAACGCAACGATGATTTTTTTAAGTATAAGTATTGAAGATCAATTCTTTTAGTGATTTGGCAAATGAGACCAAGGTAGTACACTCTTTTAGACCAGTATCGAGTTTATTCCAGTATATAACACCACGTTGAAAGGAACTATTTCTAAAACAGGAAGTTCTTTTTTTGCTCACGTACAGATCGCCTTTCGACGAACTACGTGTTTCACGCGAATGGACAGAAGAAGTTAATTACAACAGATGATTAAAAATCTGAGGGAGCATATTATGTGTGTATTTATACATAAATATACCCAGTTGATGGTAATAGAGATCATTTAGTTTCAGAATGTTAAATTTGGAGAATAGAGGAGTGGTATGATCAAGGTAACCTGCATTATTTACAGTACGAACAGCTTTTTTCTGTAACTTAAAGAGTTTGTTGAAACAATGTAAAGTTGAAGATCCCCGAAAATCGAATAGACTATACTTCAAGTATGAAAGAATAAAGGAGTTGTACAATATTAAAAGAATGTTTTTAGGGACAAATTCTTCAAACGATTCATAACCCCAACATTTTTAGATACTTTACTACATAAGACATCAATGTGGTAATTCCAAGTCAGGTTTTTATCTATACAAAGTCCAAGAAATTTGGTAGTCTTGACTTGATTACAATACCATCAAAACTAAGAGGAACTGTGGCCTGATCTTTATGTTGGCGTGGACAGAAAATAATGTAGCTAGTTTTAAGCAAGTTAATTGATACCTTGTTCGAAATAAGCCATCTACTTATTTTAACAAGTTCAACATTAACATTTTGGATAGCTGTATCCACATTTTGGTGATTATAAATTAAATTAGTATCATCTGCAAATAAACAAAAAGACATGCTATCAGCAGTTCTACGTACATCATTAAATGGATCTAGTACACTACCCTGAGGGTCTCCACAAGTGATGGACTATTCTAATGAATAATGGAAATTATAAGAGACAAACTGTCTTCTGTTTGATACGTAACTTCTGAACCAGTCCAAGGCCAACCCGCGAACACCAAAATGTTCTAATTTATTACCTGGCAACCACGGTTGCCAGGTAATTTGTCTTCTCATTTTGCTTAGGTCCACACAGCTCTCCCACAGGTCTCAAAATACGTGGATGCTGGATGTGACCTTCAGCTTTTGGTGTGATATAAGGATAAACTCGTACCGAGGCGAACATTATACGGGAGTACCGATCGACTGGATTAAGTCTATTGCTTGTACAGGCCTCTATTATTCGCGATGGTTGTACATGTACATGTTATTATTAAATTCCTAGCTCAGTGCAGATTGTATAATCTCCAGATTGGAACAAATTCCTCGAAAAGAACAAAAACGGGATAAGTGGATTACCTCACCGATGCTGAGGTGACGTTATAGCCCTGCAGCCACTTCTTCCATCTCTGCATCATCCTGGTAAGCACGTTTATCTCAAAGAAAAATGTTTTCTGTAAAGTGAATAAGCCTATCATTGGTTGTTGGAATTGCACAAAGAGATGAACCTAATTCCGACTCTTTAATTTCTGTGTCACTCATTTACGGCGATCTTGAAAAGACGTTTTTGAGGCGCGTAGATGAGTACAGTGGTATTCTCGAGGCCTTCTAGTCGTGAATTATTCGGCAACAGTCTGCTTTTTGAGGGTAAATAAACCAACCTAGAAATTGTTGAGTTCAGTGTGTGGATAGAGATTAACACAAATGTTTGATTTCTTTAAAAATGAAATTATGAGTATTTCACCGCAAAAGACATCAACTTCACAAGAAACTTTCATTCCTATTCTAAATTTGCGATTTTTTAAAAGTTTCGTTGGGGTTGACATGTCGATTTGGTTATTCTTTAAAGTTTGTGGATGGTTATACACAAACCCACCAGACTATCCTAGTCTCTCCATCAAAGCAGGCATCTAGGATTTTTATTTATTTTTTGTAAATGAATCATCAGTCTGTTTCAACGTAGGCTTAATTCTTCAATTCACATGTGATACAGCAGAATGAGTAGGTATAGCCATCGTTGTCGCTGTATGTGATGGCTTTCTTGTTGGAATCACTATCTTGCTTTGAGTCAGTCCAATATAGCTTTAGTTACTTTTATCTGAAGACAGGAACGTATCAATAAACATTCAAATATGAATGAAATCATTTTCAGAAAGATATTTCAAATAGTGAAACTGATTCATTTAATTTTGACGTTTGGCTGCTCGGGCCATTTGCTTTGAAATTACTTTGAAAGGGTCTAGTTTTCTGTTAAAATGAAAGTTGTTGAATGCAATTTTCTCCTAGAATCCTAAAGATAAGAACAAACCAAACAGTTTATTTCTTCCTAACAAACTTACACAATAATCATTTTGCTGCTGGCTACCTGTTTGTTCCAAAAGATGATTGTTCCCTTACCCTTTCATGCTGTCGATCCCATTCAGTAATTTCCCACAGTAACTTTTGTCATCGTCAGCGATGCAGAACAGCCTGAGTGGAAAGACGCAGATCCTGTTTATTTAGTTTGACCTTTGACAGGTTGTTGCATTGTGGACTGCATTCCACAGCTCTCTTCACGCGTAGCGTTTGCAGTTGAAAAGCACTTGCTTGACACAGTAATACGTGAAGTGTGTACTGTAATGGAGGAAGGTTATACTCAACACAATCACCTTATGAACCTTAAATCAGCTAAATCGACGAAAAAAAGGCCAGCTCCTTGACGCTTCTGTGATGTACTTCTGACTTCCACGGTTTGCTTCAACTGGACATTCCAGTGGCGTATGGGGGCGGGTCGTAGGTATGTTACATGGGTATGTTTTTCAAGGAACTAAAAGCTTCCGTATATTAAAAACGATGCTTCAATTTCATATTTCGAATTTGAGGATTTTCTCACAGATGAAACTGTTCGAGGGTTTCTTTTGCCCTCCCACGTAGGTTCCCCTATGGTACAAGCCGCCGACTTTGTCTCATTTTTTTCTACGAGCTTGTACAATTAGGCGTAAAGGGTGTCTAATCGTTTTACAGAGTGGATCACGTTTCTGGAAAGGAGATGCCACAGAAGACCATTCAGCAGTTGGATGAAAACAACAAGGCAACAGCCGTCGTATACAACCACGACATTGGCAAACTTGTCACCAGAAAGAGCAAAGTGAAGAGGCGAAGGAGAGAAGCATTCCTGTTGGCGTTTCCATACAGGAAGAACAAACTTTCACCATCATCAACCACAAGGGAGCCAAGACGTAAACCTGTTTCAGAAAGGTAAGATACAACATATGCAACTCACACGTTAGATTCAACTTAACAGGTGTATTTTCCTTATGATCACAATCAATTTCCATGAGCAAGTTTTTGTCAGTTTTTAGAAACTTTCAAGAATGATTCATTTTTTAAATTCTCATTTTCACTTTCTGTGGATTAAATAGATCATAAAAACATTCCCCCATTTGATATGTTGTGTCGATTGAGCTTTTCACTTACCATCCAAAACTTACCTTATTTACTTCATCAGTAACTTGCCATTCCCTAGTGAGGTAAAAACATCCCAGTCAAAGCAACACCTCGAAACAAAAACAGAGGGAACAAAGGCACACGAAGAAGCGACGACAACTGAAGATCAACAAAGGAGACAGGAGCAAACGAGTGAAGGAAAGCCTCAGCTTTTCTGGTAAATAGCACATACCCAATATGCATCATTTGACTTCATTCTTCCTGGCGTATAAAGTTCCAAGTCGTGTTTTTATTGACTCGGTATAATTGTGTTACTAGCTTGAAATTTTGTATTTTGTAACTCAAAACATTCACTACAAAAATCTAAAAACAGTTTCAGATTCCCGAAACAGAAGTTGCAGGTCTTTGTCTGGAATCCCCTCCTTCGTGGACCAAAAACATTATGTTTCCAACTTGATCCCGGGACATCCATCTCAACTTTCAAAGAATTAATACACATCAAGATCGGTGTCAAGCTCCCACATCAGCGTTTGTACATCAGGAGAGATCGTTGTAACTTCCAGGTACCTATTGACCACCCAAGACTTTCTTAAGCAATAAACACAAGAAAGTCGATTTAGATTTGCTTTTTTCACGTGTTTAATTGTGCATAAGGCTATGCAACGATGATCTTTTAAAACTCATTTTATGCATCCTGATACAGGTAGAGATCAAGGTGGGGGTTTAACCCCGCTCATTGCCATTTTTTCTAAGGGGCCTACACTGAAGGTTTTAAAATCATACACCATAAAGGGGTCTTACAAGTACAAAACACAAACTGAACGTAAGATTAATTGAAGCACAAAGCTGCTACCAGATTTCAAGAGTTGCGTAACTGTACAATAATTGTATTCCATGGCCACTTTACGAACTGTTTACTTCACTACAAAGCAATTACATTGGACTTACACTAAATTATCATTCAGTCCTTGTTTACCAAAGCAATTATTCATAAATCTGTCGGACAGCTCATCGACTCGCTTACACTCAATGACTGTGGCATTCAGCAGGATGAGAACATCTTTCTCCATCTATCAACTGGTGGCCTCCTGGGAGGTGGACCAAAAGGTAAATTGGCATTAGATAGATTAACCGAGAAAATGACACGAAAAGAATCGGTTATTCTGTGGTGATTCCTTGCGATAGTAAAAAAATTCTAAGCAATGAAAACAGACTACGAATAATAATAAGCTTCATTTCTTTAGTTACAAATAGTTATGCTAATACAACTTTAACGAGATCAAATTACCGGCGGAAGTACTTTTATTAAAAAATTCCAAGTAACACATCCAGCAAAGACACCTCTAATTTCGATCGCTCACATCTTCCATTTTCCTGTAAAATATTTCAGGGAGTATGCCTATCGAAAAATCAGTAATTGTTCAACCTTACACCAATTGATAAAGGCATGAGAAGTAAGAAACAAGAAAAATGCATGTATCAACCAGAATTACAGGAGACCCCACACTACAAGAAACAAGAAACATGTGCGTATCAACCAGAATTGCAGAAGGCTCCGGGGAACAAGAAACAAGAAACATACCTGTATCAACCAGAATTACAGGACGCCCCAAAGAACAGGATTCAATACGCCGTCTTTGCAAGATACTCCGCCAGTATAACGGGACAGCGACTGCCGTGACCCTTAAACCGTGTCAGCACATTAATCTTTTCACATTTAACAGTCCTTTTTCTTCCTTTCTCAAGATCCTTGTTTAGCTTCAATTTACAAAGCGTTCAAGGTATACAGGCACCGGCACCAGTGCTATACTGTTGAAAAACTTGTGTTCCTTTTTTTCAGACAAAGACGAGACTGATGATCAGTTTCTTAAGGACTTGTCTTCGAAAGTCTACGAATTCTGGGAGGTACTGGCCCAGCGCCTTGGAATAGTGAAAGCAGAAATCAAACAAATTCAAACTGCCTCCAAAGACAGCAAGCAGTGCAGCCAGCTGATGCTACTGTCATGGTGGAGGAAGCAAGCAAAGTATGGAGAAGGAATGAATATTTTGAGAGGCGCATTGGATAAAATCGGGTTTGATGAGCTGTCCATATTGGTACCAGGTAAGTACATGTTTCAAGTGGATTCAATCGAGGATAGACAGTGCCAAAACCTGACGGAATGGACACAGAGTGGGAGGAAAGGTGCCCACGTTCAGCCTCTGACAAATGCGTGTTTGACACCACAAAGCCTGCAACGTGAAAGATCCGTCCGCCAGTATTGAGTATACCCCTCCCCCTTCTGGGTTAGTAGCAGCTTCAAACCTCCCTCCAAATTTAACCCTTTATTTAACTTAATTAAACTGGAAGACAGAATAGCCCCAGACGTTCATGCCTTTTTGTCCATCAAAAATATATTGAACGCTCTGGAGTCAAATTTATGCAGCGAATTATACGGCAGATACTTCTGATGTTAATCACTTCGCCTGTTTTATCGGCTTTTTGTTTCAGAAGCATGTCAGGAACAAGAAACTTCCTCAAAATGTTTGGCAGAAACAAACAGGAATGAGACAGAAAAACAAGATCAGGCAACTACACTACAACCAGAATTGCACGAGAACGCAGGAATAAGGCAGAAAGTCAAGAAAGGGACATTATCGGAGGAAGAGAGCTTGGCAAAAAAGCAGCCGGATGGTCGAGACAGATCTCAGCCCCAAATTGAAGAATACCCGGGAATAAAAGAACATAGCGTTGTGAAGGAAACTCTAACGTTGGTGGGGCAGGAACAGAGACAAGAGCAGGTTTATGCTCAAGGAAACACCCATCGAAATGAGGAGCACGCTCGAGAGGAAATACTGCAGGGCGTGCAAAAGGAAATGCCATCATTGGAAGAGTACAGACATCGGCAACGGAAGACTGCACGTTCAGAAACGCCACCCTCCGAGATGAAACAGCAAGCACCTGTCGTAGAGTCTCAGGTCCCGTTAAAGAGAGTGATGCCATTACTCGAGAACAACGGAGTAAAGAGGTCCAGGCAAGAGGAAACAGGAGAGACGCCGATGGACAACGTACAGAGAAGTCGGGTTTCGATACAAGATGAAGTGGCGGTGAAGGAGCTCTTACCATTTGACCAACAGATGAAGGAGATTGCAAAGCCAGTTCAGGAAACCTTGCATTCTGTGGCCCAACTGGGAACAACGTCGCCATTGTCTGCCTTGCACAGCCACGAATCTGCGCCGCCGGTGTCCATGGATAACATAAATGTCCATGGCACGAATAATCCCATTTTCCTGGCACCAGTTCACCAACCCACTTTGAACTTTGTTCAAAATGTGACTGTGACACACAGTTGTCCAGGTAAATATTAAAAGAGTCATTTTAGGTTCGTACTTTTTCCATTCCCCTCTAGCAAAAACAGACAGCATACTCAAAATTTTCGGATAAGTTTGCAACTGAGAATACACAGTTAAATTACATATACCTACAAATAAACGTGAACTAATAAAAAGAAGATGTTTAATAGCAATGTCTAGTTTTAGTAGTCTGAATGTTCGAAAAACGAACTGTAAAATCCTTTCATGTCGTGTGTGTAACCACCTTTTGAAACAGTTTCTGAATTGTTACCGCATTTCGAGAACCCTTGTATTAGAATTGTATTGTAGAAATTTAAGCTCAGAAACAGATGTCCAACGTTAACTTTGCAACAAAGAAGATATTCGAGAATTATCCCGAGGAAATCTTTTTCGACCTCGGCGATTATCTGGTGAAGGTACTATTACCACTGCTGCCGCAAATCCATCTTTTTATGTTGAGTATTGTTCTATTTTAGTGGAGGAAGGAAGCGCAACATCCAGTCCGCAAGAGGCTGTCATTCAATGCAAGAGCGAGTTAAAGACGCAGAGAATGACTACAGGTAGTGTAAAGTTAATTTGAACTGGTTTTCAATCAACAATGTTGATCAACCCTGGATCTAATGATGAAGTTGAACCGTCCCAAATTGAATCGGATTAAGGTCCTGGTCAATTTCAGGCAGAGGCCATTTAACTCATTTACCTGTTTGTTTTTTGTTTTTGTTTTGTTTTGTTTGTTTTTGTTTTTCCTTTGCTATATAACCCCTAATATGGCCGTTGACAATGTTAAGACTAATGTTAAGACACTCTTGGGAACGAGAGCCGTATTGTGACACTATCAAATTGCGAGATTTATTTATCGCCCTCGTCGACGCATTTGTTTTTTACTCTGAGCATACTTGCGATGGAAATGATTTCCTAAATGACTTTTTTAACAAATGCATAGAGGAGCTACCACGTTAGTCATGATGTCACTAACGATGACCAATTCCCTGTTAAATAACCATTTTACGTCAGAGCAATGTGATTGATCTTGAACATTTCTTTGATAATGTCAGCTCCGATTTGATGATGCCCGCTGTGTATAAACTCTTTGGCATCTGGATACCAGATAGTTTAATGCATTCCTATTGGTCGAGAGTATGTGTTCGCAAAACCTGCCATGCGTGCGTCAAGTTCACATAAAAAGATTCTTCTGTACTAGTAGTTGAACAAGGAATATACCACAAAATGGACGGGGGTATCCAGGAGAATGAAAGTAAAATTCCTGAACAAATCCTTGGAAATTTATTATTTGTTGACGTCATTTGACTCTCTGACTAAAACGGCATTTGTTAATGTTTATTATGTGGTTGATAAGTCACAAGTTTAAAGCACGTTAAAGAACGTGAAAGATTTGCCAGGCACACATTTTTTTATTTTAATTATCCAGCTATAAACTTAATACATCAATCATAATGTAATTTTTTACAGTCACGGTGGGAAGAGCGAAATCCAGGGCACAAGAGGCGGCCATTCAGTGCAGGAGAGAATTGGATGTACGGTACACGACTACCGGTAGCTTTGTGCAGTTGCTCCCGTGGGTCGATGATGACATGAAACATATCAAGGATATGTATACGAAGTTATTCTTGAAAAGGGATGGCCGGAGTGACATCACAGTAGATGTTGAAAAGTTTGAGGACATTTTTGTCATAAAGACGAAAGAGGGGAGAGTGGTTAAGCGTGCCATTTTATGTGGGTTAGCTGGTTTAGGGAAGTCAACCATTATTGACAAAATTGCCTATGATTGGGCCGTTGGCTTAGAAATACTCAAACAGTTTACATTGTTGTTTGTTCTGAGGATGTCCGCCCTGGATCAGACGTCTGATCTTGTTGAGGCCGTGTTTGATCAGCTTTTAACTCACGACACGACCGTTGACAAGCGGGATTTGAAATCATTCGTGTATAGCAAAGACACGTCCTCTCGTGTGCTCATTCTGCTGGATGGCTTTGATGAATTTCGGACAACCAAACGTGACCCTAACAAATTTGGATCTGTTTTAAAAACGCTTAATCGAAAAGTTGGCCAAGACTGGTTTGTGGTTGTAACAACACGCCCCTCGCATGTCGCTGACTTGACGAGTAAATCACTCGTTGAAAAACCTTTCACCCGTATCGAAGTTTTGGGATTTGATCAGGAAGATGTAAAGCAATATGTGAGACGATTTTATTCAGAAGATCTTGATAAGGCAGAGGGACTTCTTGAGAGGATTCGGTCATCAAGTGTACTTTCTGATTTGGCAAAGAGTCCAATGCTGCTGTTGCTGATGTCTCTTTTGTGGAGGGACGAGGCACGGCTACCAGATACCCTGTCAAAACTATACAATGAGGCAATGGAATACATATTTCGAAGAAAGATGCCGCGAGCCTCTAAGCGGGATATAGAAGTGGTTGTGAGGGGAGTAGCAACTGCTGTTGGCAAGGTTGCTTTAGAAGGGTTGATTTCTCCCGAGCAGAGACTGTCGTTTCGAGAAGGGGAGTTTGATAAAATTGTGTTGGACAAGGCTATACAAGCTGGTATTCTCACAAGCCAGAGGGTCATCAAGTGGCTTGACACGCACAACAATGTGCAGTTTATTCACAAGACATTTCAAGAGTGCTGTGCTGCTAGATACTGTCAGAGTCTAGTAAGCAAGGACGGTGGAAAATTTCAGCAGATACTTGAAAACATAGTCAATCCATGTGCTTTTGAGTACATGTTGCGCTTCTGCTGTGGAAACAATGAGCAATGCACAAGATACGTATTAGACGCACTTTGCAAGAAAGCGTATGAGCACAGACACTCAACGGCCAAGTTAGCCCTGAGCTGCTATTACGAGAGTCAATCGACCAATTTAGTATCAGTTGACTTCGTCGATCAGTTCATTAAGGAAGTAATGAAGGACATCAACTATGATAATGACTCGCTGAACTCTCTCATGTACTTTTTGGAGAATGTATCTAAACATGCCAACGGAGGAGTTTACCTTGCGCGGGTACGTGCATTGGGATTTGAGGGGGTTAACTTGTCAAGATTCAGCAAGGTCTTTGCGTCCTGTTTGACGGGAATGAAACATTTGAAAGACCTTGTTTTATTCTCGTGTGCACTAACTGGTGACTGTGTGAATCGCATGCTATCGTCTGTTCATAAAGCAAACTTGACATTAAAACGTCTCGGTTTTCCGGATAATAGGGAACTGGGCGGCACCGCAAACATCTGGGCTCCCCAGTTGAGATTCCTAAGAAACATTGAGATCCTCAACTTGAGTGATTGTAACATATGCACACAAGATATGCCACATATTGCCTCCTCGGTTGAGCGGCTGTCAAACCTAACTTACCTTGACCTTTCCTGCAATCAGGCCTTGGGTGGTCAGGCAGAAACGTGGGCGGCTAGTTTGAAGAGAATGATCTTTTTGAAGATGTTAGAAATGAAGCTCTGTGGCATAGAGTCTAACGACATCGGATACCTAGCCGAAGCGACTTGTTGCATGGTTAATCTGATGCAATGTGTTTTCTCTACTCCGGGAAGGAGGATGGGTGTTTCGTCATCGGGAAGTGGCATTCACGCGGTCATTGAAGCCTATTCGTTAGCCGGTGAGAACATGGCAGATATTCTACAGTCGTTAGCTAAACAGCGGAACTTGGTCGGCCTGCACCTCTGGGGCATTCACGGTCTGAGTGGTTCAGCAGCGTTATGGACGCCGCTCCTACTAAATCTGACGCACCTTGAGGAGTTTGAGCTCAGAGATGATTCACTGCAGAGCGCAGACATCGTACACATTGCCGCAGCACTGGGTCAAATGCCAACTGTGACAGATATCAGTCTGCTGGGAAATACGCCTTTAGGGGGCTCTGCCAAAACGTGGGCTCCTTGTCTGAAGGAGATGGTGCACGTCGCTCGCCTGAATTTATGTGGATGTGAACTGCGATTAAGCGATATTGAGCCCCTTGCCGCTGCACTTAGTCAAATGCCAGCTTTGGAGGAGCTGAGCCTGGAAAGAAACTGGTCGTTGGGGGGCCAGGCAAAAATGTGGGCTCCCAGCCTACACAAAATGGTGCACGTTGTTCGCCTGAACTTGAGCAGATGTGGTCTGGAGAGCACTGATATGGTACACCTCGCTACGGCAGTGGCTCAACTGCCGACTTTGGAAGAGCTCAGTCTTGAAGGAAATAGGTGGTTACGAGGTTCAGCTGAAGCATGGGCTCACAGTCTAAGACAGATGGAGCATGTCCTTATGCTCAGAGTGAGTGGCTGCTCTCTGACGAAACAAGACAGGAGACACATTTCTGAGGTACGGAAAAGCACTATTGATTTCGAGTCCGAGGACGAGTCCGATGATGAGTCCGATGACGGGAATGAACGAGAGTTTGATGACGGAGCTGATGAAGAGTTCGATGACGGGACTGATGGCGAGTCCGATGACGGAGCCGATGGCAAGGATGATGAAGAGTCCTATCGTCAGGACTTTTTCTCCCCGGATGACTTTCTCTCTTTTGAGACTTTCGATAGGTCCTCTGACAGACCCATTAACGACTTCGATTAAGAGTTCCTTGAAGTCATGCTCTGGGATACTTTATTCAGGAAAGGTTTCACGGCCTAATATCTTCAGCTATGTACTGTTTGCTGATTTCGAATCGCTTTGATCCATCTTGGACCTGCTGTAATCAGGCCAGAGTATGCTTCTCGTCACGGACTCAGTGCTTAAAAATAAATCTAGCTTGATCAATCGACTCTCATCACTGCCAAAGGGTAAGAAAGAGCACACACATACAATAATCTTGTTGTTACTTGTCTACAACCAATTAGGAGTCAAGATTTTCTGTGAATTAATCTATTGAAAGTCACAGATGAAAGTCAAGCGTTTTTTATTTAAGCATGAAAAAAAAAACTTAGCACTTAAAATTCTTAAATACAGATCACGACATGATCACAAAAATGTTAACAATTATTTGGACAAAAGCGCAACGAAAACAATTTAATAGATATCGTGTTTTTAGCGAACTCAACTCAATGCTAATCAGAATGGGCCCTGAAACTCCCGTGCAGACATTTTTATTTTGCACCCAATTTGTTCTATTTTCCGCGTTGTAGCTATCTATTAAGTTTATAATAGCAAATTCATATTTATTCCCACCGATTTGTATGGAGTAGACAAGGCCATAAAATGAAAGTAAGAGTCTGTTAAAGCTATCTACCCCAAAACCAACTGGATAGAGGGGTGCATTTTGGATGCAGCTGTTCATCAGATGCTTAACAAATTGTACACATTAAAGTCGTTTTATAAGCACTTGTAAATAATTATGGTCATTTCGGTCGAGGCTTTCAGTGATAGTTGGAAAATGTGACGACCTTTGTAGACAAATATAGTAAATGTTGGAAATTGGATATCATCTTTTTATAAGATGTACATGTATACGTATTCCGGTGATGTTGGCCTACCACTAATTCAAATTTAGATTTGTTTTTCAACATTTTAGAAATTCAGATTGTGAACGAGTACAAAATACAAATTGTGTTAACCAGATGGATAATCAACTCCTGATCGTCATTAAAATGGTTAGATCTCGATTTAATGAGGTTACATTACTTGTGCGAATTGTGGGTTGTGCCAATGGAATCCACAGATGAGTATCCGAGCTTCAGAACGACATATATTTTCCTAATCTCACAGTGGCAGAGTTTATTGAGTTTTTTGTTTGGATTGTAAGGAATTTCATAACAGAATATGAAGAAGTTGCTTAGAGTTTGACACATTGCGTTGATGGAAAGTCCAAAAACCTCAAACAAAACAAAATAGGAATCAAGATTGACAAACTCTCGCCTCGATTCGTCAGTATTTTCCCAACCTTGAGTAAAATGGAAATGAAATTTGCATTAGTCGATAGAGATCATCTATCCCTTGACACCAGTAATGACAAGTTTAAGGACGGATTTATTCACAACTTTAAGATTATTTTTGCTCACATAGAGATCCAACCTTGCTCGAAAAAGAGAACAACTAACGTTTTATCAAACGCGGTTAATAATAAATGGAAAGATTGACTGACAGGAACTTTCGACTTCATTGGCAGACGTATCGCCAACCTTTGAAAATGTGGACATGAAACTTGCATTAGTGGATAGAGAACATTTAAGTTAAACTCTCGAGTGACACCAAGTCTGACCGATCAGGACCATTTTCATACTTTTATGCTTAGATTTACAGACCGCACTTGGCATAAAACTCAAATCAACTAACACGTGTACAATGGCAAAATGGCAAAATAGAAAGCATGACTGACCCGAATTTTCCGTTAATGTTGTGGCGGATATTTCTCCAACCGTTTAAAATGGAAATGAAACTTGCTTAAATCAATAAAGAAACACTTAACCTCTCAAAAAACACGAGGATGGACCGAATGTGAACCTACTTGACACCAAACTCAAAGAAACAATGTGGGAAATGACAAATCAGGAAGCATGACTGACCAGAGCCTTCCTCGCCTTATGCAGATATGTTTACCCCTTACTGCATCGAATATGGATCAAGGGGATAGGGGAAGATAGGTCATTTCAGACGTTATCAGACGCATCCATGGATAGAGAATAATGTAGGCCTACCATTTTAGATTTTTCCACGATTACCAAATTTAGCGTATCTTTAGCCTTTATTTCATAAAGAGACACATCTTTGTGTAAAAAGTGTTGGCAAAGGAACTTAATAAAAATACCAAGCAGTAGGACATGAACTCTCACTTTCTTTGAAGATATTTCCCTGCAAGTATTGATATATCATTTGACAGAATTGCAGAGAAACACGAAGCAGTGGGGCAACAATGTTCGGCTTCTATTGCGGATATTTCCCTAACTGCCCCACATATGGAGATGAAATTTACGTCAATGGAATGAACGTGTGACTTTCCAGATGCCACTACGATTGCCAGATCGGAACAGCTTTCAATCATTTTATGCTTGAATATATGGAGCTAACGTTCAGCTGTAAGAAACACAGTAAGGTGTGAACAAAGGTAAAATAACACAGAAATACGAAGCAATAGGACAACAATTCTGGCCTACTTTCACAGATATTAACAGCAAAATACTGAAACTAGCCACAGCAAATATTAAACTGACATTAATGGATGAGGGATATTTGCCCTTTCATATGCCGCCACGACTGCTGCATTTGGACAAATTTCAATCGAATATATATAATATAATATCCTCGAATATAGGAGCAGACGCCCACTACTGTAGTAAGTTGTTAATTAGACAGATACAGAATCGCACAGGAATATGAAGCAGTGGGAAAACAACTCTTCCCCTTTTTGCGGATATTTCCCTAACTAATGCAAATATAGAGATCAAACTTACATCAATAGATATGAAAACTACCGTTTCAAATGGCACCACGATTGCCAGATATAGAACTTTTTAGACTTTTTTAGACTTTTATGCCTAAATATTGTTAGCTATCTTTCTACGGGAAGGGGCTCATGCTGTAAGGAGTGGACAAAGTCAGAATCACTAAGAAATACGAAGCTACGGAGCTCTGGAAGAGCCATCCAACTTGTTGAGATTCTGCAATGCAATTTCTTAGAATGACGACATCGTAGAGGTAAAATGTCGACATCCTGAGAAAATTTTCCACGGGCTGCTGACATTTCGAGATAAATTATCACGGAATGACGACATCCTAAAAGTTGGATAATGAAGCCTCGAGATAAATTTTCACAGTGTGACGACATCGTAAAAGTTGGATGACGACATCCTGAGATGATTTATCATGGATGGCGACATCATAAACGTGGAATAATGACATTATTTGACAAACCACCTTGAAAACGCACATGTGACCTGAGGTGCTTTTGTCTTTTAACGCATTGTCTTGTACGGTGCTCTGTGAGTGCCATCTGACTTGTTCAGATACTGAGATAACTTATCTTTGTAAGTTGACTTATAAAGCGTGTTGAGTCGATTTAACGAGATAAATAATGTAGTTAAGTTGACTTCCTAAGTATAGAAAGTCGACATCACCAGATACTTTATGTCATCAAGTCTACTTCCAGAACTCGGTATGCCATCTCGGAGAGATAATTTTTGTTGTCAAGTCTACTTCCGGATTTTGCTTGTGTCAACTTGGCGAGTTTAGTTGAATACTCATCTTGGCGAGAAAATACGCTGCATGTCACATTCACTTGTGAGTACTCTTCATGCCTGCATGTTGTACACTTCATGACATGGATTATCTCGCCAAGTTGACATACTAGAATTATGAAGTCAACTTGCAACACAGTTTATACCGCCAAGTCCACACAGTGAATTTTAGAAGCAGAATTGATGACATAGATTATCTCGCCAGGTCGACTTACTAGAATTAGGAAGTCGACTCACTGACATAGATTATCTTTCAAGTCAACCTACCAGAATTAGGAAGTTGGATCGACTACATAAATTTTCTTGCCAAGTCG